TGTCTATCTTCATTATTCCCATTAAATGTAGAACTTTCAGTTTATATGGCTAATTTTACTCTTATTCATGTTTCACATAATGACGCTTAAGTGCTATTAGTGTTAGAAAATTGATTCTAGCCATAAGTTGTTTTACCAAAACACACGTACATGAATATGTATACATGGATAAGCATATTTAAAATCCAATTTTTTTGTCACCTTCTTTAGTACAAAAATATAATTCGAGTAATAACTATCTGTCATCACCTTCTGTTTCAAACTTTTTCATAGTGTACTTTGATTATTTTCCCATTACCAATTTGTCGTCATTTAGGTAATAATTGAAGAAAAAGAAATTAAGGCAGACAAAGTTGAGTTTCATAATTATTAAAAAGAATGAAATGTCAATTTGTTATTTACGCCATAAATTTGTTGATTCGCATGGAGAAAAATGGAAAGATGACGATCATTTCTTTCATTATCAGAGAGTTTAAAAAAATGTAATGTGTTTTCTTCAAAAGAAACTATTATCATTTTACCTGTGAAAAAAACCATAGCCAAATAGATCAAATTAGTTTTCCACAAGGATCAATAGAACTATAAAAAGACTTACTGGAATTATGAATGCAGTATCTTTTTCTGTTGACTTTATTATGTGTAATTAGACTTAAACAAAAATATTATTTGATGGGCTTAGTTAGTTCTACTACTTATCAAACATTCGTCCTAATTATATATATATATATATATATATATATATATATATATATATATATATATATATATATATATATATATATATATATATATATATATATATATATATATATATATATTTATATATATAGCCAGATTAAGTTGTGAATGAACCTTCTGGCTACACCATTTGTTTTTCATGTACATGACTAAGTCTAATAACAGAGAATACACAGGGTTCGTTTTTTTTAAACAGATAATTTAGCAAACTCTCTACTGATATGTAAGTAAAATGAAACAATTCCTAAATTGTACTTTGTCAAAGTAGACGGTTCATTGGGTTTTTTTTGTATGATCACCTCAACAAAATTACCTAATTTCTGTTAGCTTAAATAAATCTGAAAGATGTTTAAATAAGAACAAAGGAAATGAAACAGGATTTAGGTGAAAACATACAGTAATCATCTAATTTCATACAACTTGACCCCTTGAAAATTGAATCAGAGTAAAAACAACAAATTGTGTTATTTTTTCTTTGTTGAAAATTATCTAATTGATCAATTAGATACAAGTATCGTCTAGTCAGGATTGAGTTACTTCAGTTATGTTAAATTTATCACAGCTGGTTTTTGTCTGATTACAAGCCAGTTCATTATATGAAGGAGAAATATTGGAGATCACCAGCACATAATTATTTTTCATCTCTTTTTTTCTCAAGGGAATTGAACAAAACAAATTACATTACTACTTATCACTTCTTTTTTTTCAATTTTTTTCATTAGTAAATATTGCCATTATATTGTTCTCTGAATATTTGTCATTGTGATATTCTATACGAACAATATATATATATATATATATATATATATATATATATATATATATATATATATATATATATATATATATATACGTAATTGGCACACATGTACACAACGACACTACCTCCATCGAACTGATTAGTAAATCGATGTATACAAATATATTATTAGTAGTAAATATCAGAAATAAATTTCTCCATAGTGTTACTTTTCACGCCTCCAATACACTTGTTTTCTTCTCCATGTATCGGAATAATAAATAAAAATGAATGAGCTAACGAAAGAAAAAAAACGACTCACTTTGTCAATGAAAATCTAAGTGATTATTTTATTTGATCCACTTTAGTCTGAAATAACTTACTACTTATACATTTATTGTAAGTAATATAACAAAAGACTCTTGTGTGTATGAAGAAAGTGAACAAAGAAAAAAAAGGGTAATGAACAGAATAGAATTTAATGATTCAAATTATTTAATAATAAAACTGATTGAATTTTTTGCTGAAAAAGAAAAGAAGTGAAACACACTGATGAGGAATTCTTATTTCTCCTCTTGAAAATAGTACCCCCCCCCCAAAAAAATAAACATCTTCACACTTTAACTATTGAAGTTGATCAAAAGTAAATAAATAAGTAAACAGGATATTTGTAACAAAAAAAAGGGATAAAAACAAGGAAGCAAGTTTATTTGATAGTGAGTAGTTTTATTATATTAACTTCAATTCGGAGTATTTATCATAGATACTTAGAACTTTCTTTTTATAGTGACCAATAAGACTATCCAATAGTCTTAGCTGAAATTATAACACAATTATAAGAATGAAGATGTTTAGTGATAAATGTGTTTGAAAGAGAAATTAATTGAGTAAGTCTTGTTCCGTTCATTTACACAATAACAACTAAGAAATTATATATGCTTTGTGAGAAAGAATTTAACTCTGCAAACATCTTTTAGATGAGAAGAGTAATTATCGTTCTATTGTAATATAACTGATGTGAAAAGAATGAAATACAAAGTGTAGTTTTTTTCTCTTTATATTATAGCAAATAAAAATCAACATATCAAATATATGTATGTTTAGTATTTAATGAGTGATTCAAAGGGGTTAAAACCAGGTATGTCTTAGTGACGAGTGCTAACAGATACAAAACCTGGCCTCAAGGTTTCCTGTCAACTACTTTTCATTACTTAATAGCGAAACATCAAGCATGCAATGTCAAGTCATTTAGATTAATGGCTACATTCCAATTGGATCGATAGAATTCAACCAACCTTATAAAGACTGGAGAAACATGATATTGGTTACTTTTGCATAGACGAAAGACTGGTTATGAGTATAATATACCATTTGACTCTTTCTAGATAAGTGCATATTTTTTATAGACATCAGGTATTTTCCTCTCAGGAATTGATATAAACTGATGAGCAAGTAAAACCCATAGAGGCAGGATATCTTTCTGAAAAATCACGGCAGTGTCCATCAGTCGTGCCACACAGAACGGATTCTTATGTTTCTATCTGTCAGTTAAGTGGTCAAAGGTAATGGAAAAGGAACGGTTGATTTAATCATGACTGGCCTCTCATATGACTAAGGTGATTTATTGTATACCACAAAACTTCATCACTAGAATTCTGTCAATACTAAAGATCAGACATCATGAATTTACTTAATTCCATTGATTGATTCATACTTTATATAATTTCCCGAGCAATTCATGTTTATTCATTTAACTAATACATATTTAGTTCAATAATTTACATATTTGCAGGAATTTATGAACCCTAGTACTGTAAATATGGAAGCTTTGTAGAACCATTTAATTTTAATGTGATAAGGTTATATTATCTAATTTATTTACTTATTACTTCGTACTTCATAATGTGCATTTCAATTACTTGTTTTTCCGAAGCATACATCTCTACTAATTTTTCATTTCCTTTTATTTTTTACTAAGTTCTAGTAAAAATACTAATTTATACCATGGTTATCAAACTGATCATAGATTCGAATTGCAGAACTTCTTTCTTAAGTCTTATGAATTTGGGTTTAACCAATTAGGAACACTGTTGCAGAGTACAACCAAATTGTCTTTTAAACTAGTTCAAACTATTGCATCTGATTATTAGTTTTTTTTTAATTTGAATATGCACTGTCGAAGCATTGGCAATTCACTAATTGAAGCAAATTGCTTATACTTTTCAATAATGTCAAATTAACTCTTAGTATTGATGTAGATGTGTGTGGAAATTGTTCAGTGAGAAATTAGTTTACCATGGTTTAACATCACCTAGTGAACCGTGAAAATCAAATGAATATTAGTCAACTTGTTTTATTTTAGTTCAAGTGTACATTGTTGGATATTTTCAAACTAGAATGAAACAACTGTTTGTTGATCAGTGATTTTCAATGTTTTCCCTGAAATTCCCACAAACTAGTTGACTAACTATCAAAAACAGAATATTATAAGAAATATTCATCCTATTTCAAGAGAAACTAGCGATACACACTAGATATTTAACTGCCATACAATAGAACTGATTTATTGTTCAGCCCACTCGGGTTTCCTGTTGCCTTTTTGAGATGATGAGGAACGGAGTAAACTATTTAGACATTGGTTTGGGTTTTCTAAACACATGTTGAATAAATTTTGATGGACTAGATTTTCATGAATTATATAATTTTTTAAAATTAATCCGATTGACGTTTAATGTTAAGTTGTTGTCAGTAAGAAAGATCTGGACACAGGTTTCGAACAAGCTAACAACTTCTGGCAATGGTTCTGTTCATAAAACTGACTGGAATGAGTTTTAGTCCTCTTGGAAATATCAGATCCCAAAAATCTTTGAAATATACTTTAATAAAATGTGACATCTAACACTAGACATAAGTGTACGGTTTACTTCTACTTGCCTCTATAAGTTTTTGGTGATGCCAAGTCAACTTGATTGCACTGTAATTTGACTAGTAAAATAGGACCAGTAATATGAACTACAGAAAAGATTATTGATTACCATGAAGAGATCGTTTGGCGTTTAGTGCTCATCCACAAACAGAAAATCACCTTGAATCAGATGAAGAAAATTGCTAATCAAAGCACAGATTAAAGTACTCTAGTGCTTTTTTTCTACATGTTCGAACGTTTATTCCACTAACACCTATTAAAAAGACAAAAATTACTTTTGTTTCCAACTCAAAATTCAATTACTTAGTTGGAAACCACCAATTACTTGGATAAATCATTTTTTCATTGCCAAAAAGCTTTCAACATTGTTTTTCTACCTATATATCATAGCTAAAAAAATTACTCCCCAATGTCAAATATAAAAATTACATTCCGTTTGCAATTTTTAGAAAAGTAAAAAATGATTAGAACTGAAAAACTGAATTCTTTAAATGCCATTTACATACAAATAACTTTCATTCATTTGTTCTTCATATCCATGAGAGATAACGTTGACAACTGTAAATTTATATATGTTGATTTTTATTTTCATTTCAGCTCATTCAACCAAATCCCAGTTGTCTAAACCAGAGACTGGTAAGTTATGAAAATAATGTTTGCAAGATATAATCTTCAAAATAATTGATTAGATCTAATTTACACCAAGGAATAAAGTATTATACTGTGTACAGTTATTTGGTTTATTTATTTATATAGCAGAGTTATATGGTTGTGCTAAGTCAGACTTCACTTTCTGAACATCTTTTTTATCAAACGAAAACTATTCTAATTTTTCAATAGATTACGATGAGCATTGCTAATAAATTTCATGGAGAATAACAAGAAGCTTTAGATGTTTGAGTTAATCACCCTAAGATTAACTAGTATTACTGTCCATGAACCTTCAGAAAATATGGTAATAATAACTTCTTGATGAATCTTTATCAACTTATGTCTCTAGCATTTGTAATAGCCAGTCATCTAACCAAAAATATATGAATTCAGAAGTTACGTATTCCTCTAATATTGGTGAGATGTTGCAAAACTTGACAAATGTTTCTTCATTACTGTCCTCTATTTAATATATAAGGCGACGAGGTAAAACATTCTGAGAGTGAATAGGTCTACGATAAAATTGATAAAACTGAACAAACTAAAATAGTTGAAGTTCACATCTTAACTGTAACCTAACTATAATCCGAGTTGATTTCTTATCTCTCTTATTTGCCTTGTATTCCTTCATCTTTTCTCCTAAAGACTTTCAATTATTTGTTCGTACAGTTGAGAAATAGGTATTGACTAAGTCATCTCGACTATATTTTAGTTGTAGAATTATCATTTATCTTTATATATTGTTATCTAGAACAAGAATAGAAAAGAAGGACCTCTTGAAAGCCATTCACTGACTGTTATTGTGAGTTATATAAAGATGTATAGACCTGCCATATGGAGTCTTAAAATATCTGAAACTACGATAATAAGGACGTTAAGTGACATGATTCCAATCCTTCTTTAGGTTTGAACATTCAATTACTGCTTACTTAATTATTTCAAGTTCATATATTCCTCTTGCCTAATATATTTTATTGTTTTCTTTATCTTTATTGGTCTGTCATTTACTTAAATTTCGTAATGTATGAACCTGAATGAATGAATTTTTATATATAGCTTAAACGTTGTTATTTTGTTTGAATCCAAAACATTTTAAAGTTATATTTAGAAGGAGATTAATTGTCACTTTTCAAGTAATAATAGTGTAATTTAAGACTTCAGAGACAAATATAAAGTCAAATAGTTATTTCAGAACATAAGATTAATTGAAAAATGGTTAGACAAAAACAATGGGATTGTTAACTACCCCTTTTCTTCTCTCTATTATTTGTTAGACTGATAAGTTACTTAAAATGAATTTAAGTAATATAAATATATAACAGTAAATTCTAAATACACTTCAGTAGGTTTCCCCTAATTTGTTTGATGTAATGTAAATATTATCTTATTATTGTCATTTCATCTGATATTCAAATCTTTCATCATAAACAGGATGGCATAATTGTATGTAATCAATCTAAAACTTACATTTTATTTACAGTGAGAGTATCGTGAGAAATAAAACATAACAAACCACCTGTTATGTTATTCATTTAACAAGTTAAAACAACTAGATAAAAAATGTTACGAGGAATGTTTTCATGGTAAATCAACTACTGAAAACATACTGAATGGCAAATTCAGTTGAAATTTTGACTTACCATATTAAACAGTCTTTAAGTGAAGGGAAATCACAACATTCATCAACCTGATCATTTAAAGACAGTGAGACGCTCATGTGCTCAGATAGCTAGTGGATTGAGAGTACATTTACATCAGTCGCGCTACACTTGGTATTTTGACGACTACATATCATTACAATCCAAACACATTGAATAAATTTTAGCAACAATTATTTAAGAAGGCTTTAGAATTAATGGATTATAGATACAGTTAACTTCAAATTTTAGCGAAATTCGAACATGATAGCCAAGTTATACTCTCTATTCTTTTAAAAAATTGTGTCAATTGTTTCTATATTATTTCCCCTTTGTTTCTCTTACATATACAAATTTCAAGAATTCCACTTTATCTGACGGAATTTCCAAATGATTAATAAGATATATGCACTAATTAATGGTCACGTCAGTAGAATGTTTTCGTTTCTCATGATTAAATTTTTGAAATGGATCTCCAATTATAGGTATAATACATTCGAGACTGCTTACACCGACAGAAACCCTAACATATCTCCGTGAAAATCTATAAAAATATGCATCTGATTACTAATCAGTAAATCATACACATATCCAAAATGAGATATTGTCTTTGAGATGGTGGAGATATTGTCCTCTAGTTATTAATTATGTAGGTCTCACATTAACTTAAACCTATTCGATACACCATTCTCATTTGAAAGCTTCTTCCTCCAAATAACGATCTTACACTAGCTTCTGTAAAACATCGTGTTCATTTTAAATCAGATAATTTGAATTATTTTTATTAGTTTCTGAAAGTAAAACGAAGACCATATTAATTAATTAAGGCATACTTCAATAAACTAATAAATTAGAGTGAAATGAAAACATCCCATCAACACAACTCAATTAGAGTGTATGCGCACTATTAGAAAATATGAAACATGTTTAAAAGTTGCTGGAAATTCTATCAGATGATGTGAAACTTGTGAAATCTGAAGGAGGAAACCAAAAGAGTTTTTTTATTCAATAAAATAAATTTACATTATCATTGAAACATGAGTTCATTTTTGAATCAACATTCAAGATGTTTTTCAATATGATTTCTCTCTTTTTATCAAAAAATTAAAAAAAAACATCATTTAGATATCAATTGTCCTCCATGTGAAAGAAGTAAAAAAAGAATAAGATTTAAGAAGTTTTGTCGTTGTGAAGCTGGTAAGTTTAGCTGTTGTTTTTATGATCATTACTATTAATCTTTTCCTATGTTCCAGTACATGGAATGTTTACACCTTAGTATATATTCTTTACTAGGAGACAATCTTAATCTCAATCACGCTAACAAGATATAAATGAATGCAACTTTTTAAGTTTGACCTTGAACACAAATTGATCATATGATTTATTGACCTCCATAAACAATAAAAATAACTGACTATTCTCTCATTAAATCTACATTGAGTAAATAAGAATTATTTACAGATAACTTCAGTATAAATTACTACAGTTGAAAATAACGACAAGTTTAAAATGTAATGGATGTGCAGAGATTTGTTTCAGAACTGTTTGCTGATTACATTAAATTGTGTATCTTTACACAATTTCAAGAATGTCTTCGTAAATTTCAGTTATCTTTAAAGTTGATCAATGTTCTTTTCTTTTAGCAAAAGTTATTACCATCCTTGAGGGACTAGTCGGCAGTAAGCCATGATGATTCGTCTTGATCTAAAAAACCTACACCTCCGAGTCTAGAAAGTCAATGAAAACTTAATGATTAAAACACCCATCTCAAAGAACATAATACTTTCAAAAACCTCCTCTTAAGTTAAAAATCTTCCCCATCGTATTTATGTCTATAAAAATGATTAAAAGGCTAAGGAAACTATCGGTAAAAATATCAAAATTTTACCTCTAGTCCGCCTCCAGTATATCTATTCTAGAACTGAGATGATGTATTCTCAAGCTATTCCTCAATAGATAACTGGCTGGATGATATGAAACTATGGCATAGAATCCTAGCAATTTTCACAATCGGTGATACATCAATAAGGTAAAAGTTTGTCTAGGTAACGCACTAAATGGGATCTGATTTGAACATAATTAATATCTCCATCATCCTTTAAACCTAGTTAAGAATATTAAATGGTAAAGCTACTTTCTTCCTAGAAATCATTCAGACCAATAGAATGCTTCTTAATGAATTTCTTACAAAATATAATCAAATATCTAGGTATAAACACTTATTGATTAGACTACTGCGTTACCTTGTCCTTTCATCCCTAACCGTTAGTCTTGTGAAAAGCGATACTTAAAATTTGTTGTTTTATTTGATCCAAATAGTAGATTCATAGGAATTTCCAAGCTGAGGAAAACCCTGATGTCGATCATTGTGCAAAGGAAATAGGTGCTTTCATGATAAAATAAGTATTGTATCCGGATCACCACTGTTATAACTGGAAAGCTGGCTCCATCGGGGATGTTATAAGTGAGTAGCTAGCTCTTACGTATCGAACCTGTTGAGTCCACAGTCTTACTGTTTTTACTTGACAATCGAGAACCACTGTTATTCCTCGATCTCACTGCTTATATTGGAAACCGAGAACCACCACAATTACCGCGAAGCAGTGATAATATGATAGACTAGTGCAGTGAACATTTATTGACTCCCCAAATACAGGCCCAATAATAAGTCCTAAAATTACAGCACCTTTAGACCATGATACAGTCGTCTATATACCAAATTTTACGTGCTTTATAATGACATATATAGGGAGAAAATACATAGGGTTCCTGCAAAAAACACTAGACAAAGCTTACCTGAATTCATACAGGGAATAAAATTGTCTCACCGAAAGAGAGTTCACACCTGTCACTCTGGCTGAAATTCATAATGAATATTTATTGGCCTGAGATCTGACTCCAGGTAGGTCGTTTGCTGATTGTTATCGAAATATACATGCCTCCAATCCTCGTACATAGTTATCGACTTCACTCACGTTAGTGAATAACGGAATTACATAAGTCAAATAAGAGAACGAAGTATAAATGCGTATATTTTATACAATCGTTGATCTGAACAGACAGATAGGGAAATGGAGCAAAGGAAGCGAAGAAGAGAGAGAAAAGCGAAACTAAACGACCAACAGTAAAGAAGGTTAGTTAGCCGGCTTAATTTAGCCAACAATGACTCGTTATTTACAGTCGAACAAAAATAAGTTACAGACACATAACGAGTAAGGTATGTAATTGACACACATGCAATTATATGAAAAACGTAAGGATTAATAAGAGAATAACTGACAGGGTCAACATGTGACTCAAGAAGAATGAACAAACTGGTCAGTCTGGAAGCTAGAATAACCCATGTGTGCTTGACTAAGAACTACGTACTAAGGTCAGATATGTATTCTGAGTGTATTGACTATTAGTTACAAGATTTTAGTAAGCTAAATTGAGGCTGTCAATAAAATTTAGGACTCATGGACGAGACTATAATTTACGGACGAACCGATCAGATTTAGGATAACTCTGCTCACCCATTTGTCTAAATAGCGTATTGACATTATAGGTGATGTCAGTTCGTGATGAAAACCATAAATCTAGTTCTTAAATCTAACTATAAACTGTAAATCATAATTGGAATTCCTCACACTAGTTTATAAGCCTCATTTAGCCACAGTAAGTAGGGCATTCTCAAGGTCACTTTAGATTCGCTCAAAGGTCGTCTATAAATTATAGTCTTACCAACTCATGTTTTGTCTTACTTCGAGCTCCTTACTTGAGTGTACCTCCATCTCAATGTTTATGTTCACATCAATGCTCCAATGATTTAACTAATAAACTGATGAGTCTACATAGCTGATAGATTTTTCAACAAGTATGAAGTTATTTTTCAGGGTTTGTATTTTCCTGAATAGGAAAACTGCGTGTCCTAGATTCCTCTGCCACTCGAAAGACAGTCTTACTATGAGACGATTAATAACAAAAGGGAAGTTAATATGTGTAATTTAGCACCGAGCCATGCAGGTTTTCAGTTTTTAAAATATTATTAAAACCAATTATTTCTGAGCTAATAACGCTATTTGAATCTTGGTAGATGAAGTTGTGGTAGTCGGTATTCCATATAATCCCTAAACTTCGTCTTGATAACCGTCACTAAATGACGCCCCAACGGTATATTAATGCGAAGGCGAATACGAAGTGTTGATTACGTTTATTATGGGACCACACACAGATATCCAAAATTACAGGTGCGTTGAACAAGCATGAAAGAGTTGTGCCGAAAGGTAAGCAGGCAAGCGAGCGAGCGAGTGAGTCAGCGAATGTGAGTACGAGTACAATTAAGCGAGAAGGTAGACATAATACTCAAGACAAAATAATTCTTCAACTATTCAATCATAAATGTATTACATAAGATCTAAAGTTACGTCCTACGGTTATCAGTCGATAAATGGTTTCAAATAATATACTTGTAAATTCTATTTCAAAAATGAACACTCTAGAAAATTGACCTATACACGAATAAACATTAAGGAAGAGAATAGATGCCATTATTGATACAGAAAAGTTTTATTACAATGTGATTATCTTCAGTGAATATTTGATTTCTTCATAGTAAGAAAATCGGTTTAAATACATAAGGTATCTCTAACTGTAATAGATTTTGATGAATGTACTTATAATAATTTATACAAAACTAAACAATTATAATCAGTGTTTTTTACAATTGTTTTTATAAACCTATTAATATAGATTCACTTGATGTTGTTTTACTTGTATCTTCTCATTGTAATTTAGGACTACAATTGATCAGTCTTATGTTGGCATATATATTCATCCTATGCGGATTGCCTCTATATAGTCTTAAGTCACAAGCTTTTTAAGCTAAGATGGATAGTGGCTAGCAGTGGAATACAGGATGCGCGTCTCGTCCTATTTAGGACTCGTCAGCTTGATGTATCTGAATCTCAGAGTTGATGCTCACTATGGAACTCGAATCCAGTACCGTTCGCTTATCTCAATTGCACAAGCAAGTGGCTATCAGGACTTAGTAGCTGAGTGCATAATGCAATGGCATTTGGAGCGAACGGTACTAAGTTCGAGTCCCAGAGTGAACATCAACTCTGAAATTCAGGTGCATCCGATTGACGAGTCTCAATAAGGACGAAACGGGCGTCCTGGATTCCACTGCTAGCCACTATCCATCTTTGCTATTAATACAGAATTCAAAGTTTTCCAATGAACAGATTTATTAACTTAATTTTTCTTTAAAAAAACCCATTGAACCATCTGAATATGATGACGTTATTTATGATTGTGACATATTCACATGTAGTTCGAGTAGTAAATAACGAAATGAAATGTGTTTTTCTTTGTGAAACACACATGTAAACTAAAATTGTGCATATTTACGTTATTTGTTTGTTAGTTTATTTTAACCAATTCAAATTTCTATGGAAAACATAAAATTAAGTGATTCATTTTCAGATAGAATTTCTGATATGATTCCTTAAAATACGAAAAAAAAGAACACATAAGAGGATATTCAAAATCTGGTTAACAAATAAACTAATCTAATTTCCTTAACAATACACTAGACAATCTTAATCCTCATTTTGTGAAATATTTCTATCTTTATTAAGATGTTATATTGAATAAATAGCATGTGGTAGCAATGAAGAAAATATACTTTGCATTGTAATTAACAAGTGTACATGATAATGACAAAGAATCTAGTATGAAAGGTACAAGTTTCTATCACAATAAATCAATGAAAAGTGTAGTACGCACGTATGTGAATCAACTAAATGTATGATATATTTATATGTGCAAATATCAGATCAATAAATTTGTTCACATTACTTAACAAGATGAGGTTTTCTAAAACACAAAAAGTTGGTGATCATGTAGTCTATGATCGAATTTTGATATTCTGAAAATCATTATTCATTCAGCAATCGATTTATCATTCTTAATATCATTCCTTTTAAAAATAATATGGTTGACACTGGTAATTCATGAATCAAACTAACTTATTGGTAGTACCAATGTATAAAATATGCAATCAATAAATTTTAATCTTGGAGAATCAAACTACTCGTCAATGATTTGTGTCCTGTAAGATTAATTTCTAACAACATCCAGGAGTTGTTATTTATTAGGGCTAATTTATCATACTCTCAATGGGATACATAATGATATTAAGTCACTGGATCTAGTAAGCACATAAAATTGAGTGAATCGCATCTCTGAGGGGATTTAATGGTATAATACTGATAATTGTTCAGTGTTTAATTAAGAAAAATGAAGTTCTCCGGAAATTCAGATACATTTTGTTTATGAATACCAAGATTATATGGAACCTATTTTTCAAGCCATTCTATGGTTTATCTGGATCCGTTTACTGTTAAATTCTGCGTCATGTGATAATAGGTTAAATAACTAGTGATTTACTTTCGTTTTTTAATTGATGCTTTTGTATGTACACTGGAAAAAAATACATCGTGACATTGATTAACTTCCAGCAAGCAAAAATTGACAACTAATGTTAGTTTATACACAGATATATCTGTCACAGTATTGTTGTTGTAATTCAAACCTACGTTTTGATTAATCTAAACGAAACACTCTATGTTCTTGATAATTACGTTTTATTATCAAGGAGAGTAACTAGAATAAGTGGTAGTAACAATATAACATTAATTGAAACCAGACTACATAATATTTTCTTCATATTACTTGATTATTCTGAATAATTTAAGTTATTCAACTATACTGACCGAGTCAGAAATGTTTGTAAAAAAAAGAATATCCTAACCTATGACTTTCTGTATAAACTAGTACTAAATCGTAGATTGATTAAGCTTATCTACCAAGTTGACTCATCCCTCCCAGATTATATTAATGCCTTAAGAATCACATATATACCAAAGTATCGATCCGTAGAGTAGACCCTGATTAATGTATTTTTGATTGATTCATAATTTCAGTTAAGAAGTTTTATATTAGTTGTTATTTATTTATAATAGTGGATAGAATTTGTAGGCAATCGAATTGAGACTTGTGTAACTGAGTTATGTAATGGAGAACGGTTCTCCAGCCTTTACATTCTCTGTCGTTTGATAGGAGAATTATTATTCAAATAAGATAATCTAGACGAAGAAATTTACCTTTCCTTTTATCCACTTCTGATTAATTTCAATGTATTTGAATTATGAAGAAACCTAAAAACACAGAATTCCACATATAGTCACTTATAGTACTCTGTAATTATACCTAAATCAAGATGTAGTTTTCAGTCGTCATATGGTATTTAATAATTTATCTAAAGGTTGACTCCATATTCATCATGGGTAAAATGGTTAAACAACCAATGAAAGGAACGTCATATATCAACAATATGAAGAACATAGTTATTAATACATTGATCTATGTAAGCAGCTGTTTCCATGGGAAATTTCTGCTATCAGATACATTAATAATAACAAGATTTTTGTGTAATTTTTCTCTGACTGAAGAAAAGCTAGCTTTTTCTTATTTATGTCCAAACGGTTACATTAGGGTACTTTATTTAAATTTACTAAATAAGCGATTAATGGTTGAAATTAGTTTTGCATTTTGCTAAACAACCTGACGTTGTTGTCTCAAAATTTAGTGTTTTAGCAGTAATGAACAATATAACTATGTTGAGCTGAAAGTGTTAATCATTATTCTTCTATTGAACTTTTTATAATATTATAAAACCATTTTATGGTAAACAGCTTCATCGAAGAGACCGACCTTCATAAGTTCCATTGAATTCATATCATCAATAAAATTTTATCTTTTAGAATTTTTACCAGTTATAATTCATAAAGAAGAGTGTTTAAGTTAACCAAGTTCAAACTCGTATACAAGGCTTAATAAGTCGATCTTATCACATAGTAGATAGGGAAAATTCTTATTCTCTCTCCCTCCATTTCAAAATAGAAGCTGTTAGTAGTTTTCAACTTGTTAAGCAAGGGAATTCAATGTATTTTTGTTTAGGTGAAATCAAGTGAACTTTAAATAATCATGCATTGACATTAACTTTCAGAATTTGAATTTAGTGGAATAACATTGAAGTTGTTATCTTTTTCTTGACTAGTTCACCAATCTAGTAGAGTTTTTAACAAATAACTCAATAAAATTTATTTCACATTTGTTCAGCAACATTGCAATTATCCTTAAACAGGTTTTTACATTTAAATTAAAATGAAGAGCAAAATAAGTTTCAAACAAACAGTTGAAAAACGGATAGAAACTATACAATGATTCAAATTGAAATGGTTTGGATTATCTCGTTGTGAAGAATTTTCACTGAATTATGATCAGTCTCGGTTGACATATGTGTATCGTGTGTGGATTGTCTCTAAATAGTCATTATGATACAAGTTCATATAGAATAGATGGAATGTGATTAGCGATGGAATGGAAGACTTGGGTTTCTTCCTACATGGGATTCGTCAGTTGGATGTACCTGAATCCTAAATCTGATGTTCATTCTAAGAGAATAATCCAATACCATACGCTTTAAAATCCATCGCGTTATTCGCTTAGCCACGGAGTGCTAGTTTAAAAATCAACCAATTCATGACTTTAGCCAACTTATTCCCTAGTATTATATGTTTTATTATTTTCATAGAATAATCAAGAAATTTAAGAATTTTTAATTTGCCTCTATAGCTTTCAAGTATTTGTCGTCAGAAATAGTTTATTGTGGATATAAATAACAAATAATATATTCAAGTCTGTTGGTTGGAAAACTATTGCCAGTAAAGGAAATCGCTGGGAAATGAACCAGACAGCAATGAAATATGATCATAAATACCGACGTATTTAGAATAAATAATCTATTGATGATTAAAACTAAAATTAGTCTAAGTGATACTTTATATATGGGATGAAGTGGTCTATAATATGAAGGGTTTTTCCCTTCTAATTAAACAGTTATATACGAATCATGAGAAATAACAAGTTCTATGATGTTCATTTTGCATTATTAATGAATAAGCTATAATATATAAAGTTAATAAATTTCTTTCTTTCCATAGTTTTTCGTGGCATAGTCAAATCTCGAACAGTTCATGGAGATTTAATGCGTCTTGAAGTCGACATTCAAAACACATGGCGTATTACTGGAGCAGCTGAACACTTATTACCTAAAACAGCATCGCCAAATCTACCAGCCTATCGAGTTTGGTTACGCATCAAAAATAACTCAGAAGATAAACGTCATTCACGATGTCTATGTCCAAACCTTCAAGTTGGTCAATCATATTTGTTCATAACACGTTCGCATCAGGTATTATGAAATAATTTTAATGCTGATTTGTGTTCATAGTAAATTATTTTGTATATGATAGAACTATTAAATAAGTTTATATTGAAATAACTACACTTAAAACACAATTAAGAACAATACATACTTAAAATGAGATAAGCGTATATCAATCACGTAGTGTTGATTAATCAGTACTTCTGTAGTGGCTGTGCTTCGTTGACCAATCACCCTCGTAACCGTTATCATATAATCCTCAACGGTGTTTGGAATCAGAAGGCAAAGAGAAGCAGTGACTACAGTTTTATTAGCAGATAACTCAGACCACAAAGCAGAGAGGCAACTAAGTGAGTCAGCGAACCGACAGTGTAGTGTCAAATGTACACGTATATGTAGGGAAATGAATGGATCATAGAATCCAATTAAGCAGTTATTAATCAAGCTATCAGAATGAATATATGCGTAAGCGGTAAACAATGTTCAAGCATACATATTTCATACAAGCACGACATTAATAAAGGTACAATAAGTTTTTATAGTACGGATGACTTTGTCCGCTAATTAAGTTAACAAAAGGGGCTTAACTGAGTTAAATGAGAACAAACTCAATTGCACGTGAGTTGCTATACTTCGATTAACTAAAAAGTAAACTATTTTTTTGACTATTTGCTCACTAAGTTGGGTTTAATTTCACCCGCCAGACATCACTTGAACTACTAACGATCATTCTTTAACTAATTAAAGTCTATTCTTTTTCCTCATTACCTCTCTCTAATAATAAGTTTTAAAATTTTCTTGATACCACCTTCAATACAACCTTTCTATTATACAATTTTGCTGTAATTGTTAACAAGTCACTAAGACCAATTATGATTCAGAGGCATCAGTAGAATCATCTCAGTTTAATCATTATCAATGTTTACAGAATGAGCTGTTTTAAAAAGTTAATATTAAAGACAATTTATAGAGGTATTATATTATGTGATATTGTAGTGGCTTGGCTTCGAGATTATTCCGTATGTTTCGTTTATCAAACACCTTGATAACCGTTGTCATATAAATCCCAATAGTGTACGAGTTCAGAAGACAATCGTCACCAGAACAAACTTCAGATAGAAGTGAGCTATCCGAATTTCTCAACATAAAATTAACAGCTTCTTTTGTTAACAATAAATTCAATTGGTTGTTATCATACAATATTTGTTTTGTTATTGTCTGGATTTTATTTTAATTGGGTTTCCTCTTGACTAGGCTCTTGACCTTACGGTTGTTTAGAATTTTTCTAATCGGTCGATAAACATGACCTATTTTGGTTTGAAAATGAAATTTATTGTTGACAAAACATACTGTTAGTTATGTGAAGAATAACTCAGTTCTATTTGATGTTTGTGTTGATGATATTGTCTAAAAATACAATAAAAGTTGCACTATTAGATCACCCAGCATAAATAACAAAACTCCATCAAAAAAAAACAATTTTACATGTTCATCTATTTAAACAAATAGATAGTGTATCATAGGCTTTAATTATTAACTTAAATAGCTATTGTGGAACTGATAGGTTGATTGATTTCAGTTAATTTTGTCAACTGTACAACATGTGACGTTAACTGGAGAAAAGCCTATTTATAATTTATATACATAAGTGTATTGATTCAAGTACTCAATCTCCTGCCATCTATGGGATAAATCATATACAACTATTATGGTTAAAGTGACTTAATGAATATTTCCTGCTTTGATATAAGCATTTAATGTGTGTAATCATCTCATGTATCTTGCCATTATTATAAACTGAACATTCGAATCTAAATTCATCCTTAAAACTTGTTCTCATTTCTTAAAAAGTATATCATGCTTAAAAATCGAAAAAATTTACACCAAAGTTGTATTTTTTTCTCTTCATTTAGACTATGGTATTTGTTTCTTTTAATATCTAAAATAAATTCAAATGAAAATGTTGCATCAATAAATTTCAATCCAATTTCATCAAAATTTTACACTTTAAAAATTGAATATTTCACATAACTAGTGTTTATATTATTCCCGAGTTTGAAATTAAACCATAGAGGTTAAACGTTCGCGCGCGTGACCGATAGGTAATGGGTTCGAATCTAGTAAGGCGGTATCGTGAATGTGCACTGCTGAAAAGTCCCAAAATAGGACGAAACGGCCGTCCAGTGCTTCCAGGTTTTCAATGATGGTCTAGCTTCAATTGACTCATGATCTCAACTATTTAAATTAAAATATTTGTTAATTTTCGAACAAACCAAAAATCTAGTAGATACTCTATTAAATTTGTATAATTGATGAACAATAGGCAACTAATTACCATATTACAAAGATTATTGAATAGTTGTTTTGTATATTTAGAAATCAATCAAAATTTTTTTAGTGTTTATGAGGAAAAAATGGCCTAACTGGGTTCACGTACTTAGTGATCAATCATGAAAATAATCACTTTTCTGTGATAAAGAACAGTCTGTTAGTCAGTAAATGTTGGACGAAACTAGGTGATCTAATGTAACTTATGAGTAATCTCTTTATTGTATAAGGCCTTACTGTACTATGAAACCGTCTAAACTATGAACTTATGATTCTTTGACGATTAAGCAAGAGGTCATTTCGACTATTCATAGCTCTTTAAGAAGTTATGCTTGAACACACCATAAGTTGTTATTTCAATAACGACAGAAGTGTTTAAATTTTCAGCTGACTGATATAATAATCATGTGCATCAGGTAGCTTAATTAAATATATAGTTATATAGTCATTATTCAATTGGATTCACACGACATCTGTCTTTATTAGATAATTTAAAAGCAAAATATATACCATGAACTTTTCTTCCTGACAAAAGGTTTTAGAAAACTAACGATAAAACACATTCACCTAACGAATAACAATATCAAGGCAAAAACAAACAAATTAGTTTCAAAAATTCCAAACAAACAATATAATATGGATGGATTATCAAATACACTTGATGGGTTATTAAAAGTAAGAGATGCAACACTCAAGTTTCGTGGGGCGATATTATAATTTATGAACGAACCGATCAGATTTAGGATAACAGATCTTGGATTTTGGCGCGAACTTCATTCACCCATTTGTCTAAATAGCGTTTTGACATTATAGGTGATGTCAGTTCGTGTTGAAAATCATAATTCGAATTCCTCACACTAGTTTATAACTCTCATTTAGCCCCAGTAAGTAGATGGGCATTCTCAAGGTCACTTTAGAGTCGCTCAATGGTCGTCTATAAATTATAGTTTCACCTTTCGTAGTGGTAGAAATGTGAAGCACTTATTTTAAGACAACTGATCCTCTTTGTGAGGTCAAAACTCTAATCATTCAGTATTACAGTTAAAGATATTACCAACGAATAGATTTCTGATAAGTTAAGAACACTATCAAACGACAGACAGATCTTTATCAGTACTAAGGAATAAACAGATAATGTAAATTACTAATCAGTGATCAGTCAATGTACTCAAATCTGTACTTGATAAGTAAAAAACAACAAATAAAATATATTTTCAATAGTTGAGATCATGAGTCAATTGAAGCTAGATCACCTTGGAAAACCTGGAATCACTGGACGGCCGTTTCGTCCTATTGTGGGACTCCTCAGTAGTGCGCATCTACGACCCCGGCTCGCGGGATTCGAACCCATGACCTATCAGTCTCGCACGCGAGCGCTTAACCACTTGGCCACTGAGTCGGCATCCAACGACCGTCCATTACTTCCAGGTTTTCCATGGTGATCTAGCTTCAATTGAATCATGATCTCAACTGCTGAAATTACTACAATCTCCACAAAACCCCTTCTGATACTAAATAAAATATACCAAAAACATTTTCATGATGCAGTCATTCAGGTTTATTTCTGAATGATAGAGTTATAAATGATAAATAAACATAAATAAATTATTATTTGGATATTCTGATAATACCAGTTGTTGTTGTTGAAATTTTCGATATGCATTACATTTAATTTTTAATCTTAGAAAATAAATTCAACTTTCATTGAACTTAATATTATTAACAATACCAAATGGAGTTTCCATGGCAATTCATACTTTATAATAATTTATTTATTTATTTTAACACATAGATATTGGTACAAGGAGGCAGCAAATACATATGCGCCACACAAATCTCATTGGATATGTGTGAGGGCTGTGATACTGCACAAGTGCCCAAACCGAAGCAGGTGGTTTTCTTAGGGGGCCACTCTCCGAGCCTTGGACCTAAAGGTCTGATCCACAAGACAGTGGAGCATCGTGAGGAGATTCAGTCCCATGGTAGTCGGTGACCAACGACTGGTTCATACGCCCTTTGTTCCCACAGGATACTGGAGCCCATGTGCACCATTGGTTTGGAATTCCGTTAAAGCGCCGGACATTCACTTTTCGTCCTCTCATTTTCGTAAACAACACCGCCGCCACGAGAAGGCAGTGAGTAGGACTTCCCTGGCAGAGGCTATATACGCGTGGCCATGTGAGAGCATTTGGAGAGGGAGAGCGGACTCTTCCCACTCTCGGCCGTACTAGGGCATTTGGGGGCATTTTATAATAATATTTAATTAATCATTAAAAACAGTGAGGACTTTTTGAATAAATAATAATGATAATAATAAAGAAACACTTATCATTGGAAATGTATCGAATAAAAAATAGTTTAGTTTTATATTGCTAACGATTGGACTAAAAAAAAAGTATTTTGATGATGATGATGATGAAGATGATCAACTATGCACATTTACCAATAAAACTTGATTATTCCAACTCAATAAATCAATAGAAATGATAAATATATCAAACTTCATTTATAATTTAAATTTCCATACACGCTTTCCTGATCAGAATAAATAGAATATTGTAGAAGAGAGAGGTTTTATCAAAGGTATATATTACTATACGTGACTGAATATCATAAATCAATGACTGAATAAAAGTTTAAACAATCTGTCAAGGGAAAATTCTTACCCTACTCTTGAACTGATTAGGATACAAACAAAAACAAAACCGAATTGACAGTATATGGATATTTCTAAGATGAGATAAAACTGATCTAGATTAACTGAAGATGCGTTTTGTTTAATATCTTAACCAAAAAATACCTAATTCAGTTGATCAGTTTGGAAGATAATCATTCTTGTAGGAAATGTAATTAGAAATTAAATCATAAAGTACTAATTATCTATGACTAGGTTTAAAAAAATGATTCCATGAAATTTACAACCCTGATTAGCCATTCTGTTGAATTACCAATAAATATGGTATTACTCACTTATCAGGTCAGGGTTTATGTACTCGGCTCTCAGTCACACTGTTTATATGAGGCCTAGTGATATAACTTGACTGATCAAAATAAAGTAGGTAGTTTGAGGTTCAACAAGGTGGTTGGTAGTTGACTGCCTTAACCACTTCATTAAACTAGACCAGGCAACATAAAATTTGAGCTTACGGATAAGTATTGATTATTGATATCTGATCTACTTCCGATTCGATTAAATTCCACCAGTTACAACTTTTTTTTAGAACTTCACAAACCCATCTTGAAGTGGCTTCATGATTAAGATTTAGCTAAAACAGTTTTTTAAGAGAACTCATCGAAGAAAACTATTTCACCTGTTTTTGTGTTATCATTTCACTTTGATACATTAGTCTAAATAATTCACTTATTCTATTTGGATAGTTTGAAAGTAAATACCTGATGAACGTAGTGTTAAAGACAATATTCTAAGGGCATATTATTTCAGTTTACTTAACAGATGATCTAACTATCGTACGAAAATGTTATTCTAACGACAAATTTATTTGACAGCAAAAGTACTCATCTGTTCCTGTTAGCTTTATTGATGTAAAGTAGATAGCAATATTTTGTTTTTAAATTTCAATTTGCTATATTTCCAAATGTAGTCGATTTGTGATGTAGTCCAGCTATCATCTATTGTTGTCGGTGATAACTGTTTCACTATCGTGCATGGTTCGACTGCCCTCACAAGTTGCAATTTCTCGAAAAAAACTTCACGAATTTATTTCAAAGTCAATCACTAGTGAACACGTAATTACGATTTAGTTGAGCGGTTTGTTTAGGGTGATCTTACCTTATCTGTTTCCATTTGGAGAAGTGAAATATTCTCAAAGTGTTTTATTGTTTACATACTACTTAGCCAAAGAATTTCATTTCTTTTTCAAAGTTCAAATATTTTAAGACAAATAAGCGTATCTGCCAAATGGAATTTCAAAACAAATGAGGTCGAATTCATAGATTATAGTTAAAAAAACGCGTGTGTTTCTAACTCTAAACAATTGTTTGGTAAGTGTTTAAATTCAGTTTCATTTACGTCTATGTATTCATACTAGACTACACAAACCTACGAATACTAATTATACGATATAGATAGTGTATCAAGTGTAAATGTCAAGGTTATAACCCACATTTTCACCAGCACAAAAGTAATACTAACAATATATATATATATGAAGCAATAAACTATATGAGTCACTTGTTTAAAATAAACTGAATTTCGTTTAAAATCTGCTGTACAACTGTGATTTTACCGGTATTTTTTTTAATTTACCACACAGGTCCCATATGGCGATCGAATGGAGTTATTACTTGATACACATAGTGTAGTATTAAAATGGAGAGAATCATGGAGAAGACGATTGTCAAAATTTGTACGTCGTGCTGCACGTGAATCATGTGATAGTGAGAAAAATTCAGTTGTTGATGACGACAATATTGATGATAACAATAATGATAAATTAAAAAGAACTCGTCAAGTACAACGGTTACGTCTAGGTTCTGATTACTACTCGTCAAACAATCAAGGGAATCAACATAATCGAATACAATCCCACACTTCACCTTCAACATTATCATCGAATTACCAGTTGAATAGGTTAAGGTCACCCACAAAACTACCATCTAACAAATTAAAAAAACAAATCAGTCAATCATCCATCATTTCCGACCCACATAGTTCTAAAGAGGTTAGTTTAAATTACCCACATGATAAGAATAAATTTCAATATATAACCAATAAAAATATGTATTCATCATTTTATTCAAATCAATGAATTCAGGTCAAAATATAATTACAAGAAATGAAATACTATATCATGGAAACAATGTTAACTAGTTAAATGTAGTTAACAATATCAATGTACAGTATTATTGTTTTGAATATAATTCCCCCCACCCTCGAAAAAAAATAAATAAAATAAAAACATCAAATAAATTGAACTATCAAACGGTGAGCTTTTTTTAACACAAACAAACAAACTATTTCAACCATATTTATTGATTAGAAAGGAAAAGAAAAAAGCAATTTATTTATGAATCAGGTATAACTAATAGGCACAAAATAAATAAATAAATAAATAAATACTTGTTATAACCTTTAAATAATTAACTTGTCATGGATTGAGATTTTCTCATATTGAAAATAAGTTAATAATAATTATATATTTGTGTTGATATACAATTACTATTTCATTATTCAATTAATTATTTGTTCTATTATCTATCAAAAATCGATCATTATTATTCATAAAATTAATTATACTAATTAATGATAAATATTAATTCATTTACAATAGAATCAATATTATTTATTATTAATATATAGTTTAAATTGTTTAAATAATTAAATATAATCATTCAATATGTTTATTATACAATAAAATTTCAAACGAATATTCATTATTGAATTGATATAATGTAAGTTTCAAAAAAGATAATTAATGTGAATCATTTACATTGATGTCTAATAAATTTCTACCTCATATTCTATTTCATTGTTCTTATCACCCATTTTCTTTCTTCTTTCTATATATATATTGTTTATTGGTTTTAATTATTTAACAGGATTATTCATTAAAACAATATATTAAATGGATTATTGATTAAAAAAAAGAAAGGTATTAAAGGATTTGTGTTTATGTTTAATTATCTATCTATATGTTGTTTTGCTTGAACCATATCCTTTCCTTATAAAACAAAAACAAAAAATCATATTCATATTAAAATTATATTCTAATGAAAAATATATTATATTCTGCTTACTATTTTACATTTTCTAATTGAATATAATTTCACAATTGAATCATTGATGAAAGTAAAATCTTCAACGAAAGAAATTCATTGTAATATCTTCGAAAAACAAGCTTACTATATATATATATATATTCGTGTTGTGTAATTATGACGAGTAAATCCTATTAAATAAAGCAAGAACAAATATTGGTGCAGAATAGTATGAATTCATATTATTTCGAGGTTTCTCGTCAGCTGCTTACAAACCAAAAATGAGATAGAATTTTTACATTGAGATAGAGTGAAAACAATTGACATAAATGAGTGTAAATAACTGGGTTACATTAATGACTATATATATATATATATATGCTAGAACAGGTCAGAGGTCAAAAGGAAATAATTTAGGTAGGGTGGTGTAATAATGGAATTGAATAATCATAAGATAGGTTACGTAATAATAATTAAGTAGAATTTGATAAGTTAAGATAATTTAAGAGGATCAGGTGGTGGAAATGTGTGAATAATAATGTAGTTTAAGAATTATGTAGTAGGGGAGGAGTATAAATATTTTAAAATAAATAAAAATATAAAAAAGGGTTACCAGGGTAGTGATAAGTTAGTTTGAAATACATTGTCAACATGATCTATTTGCTAAACAAAATTACAATAGTTGAGATCATGAGTCCATTGAAGCTAGACCATCATGGAAAGTCTAGAAGCACTGGAAGGCTGTTTCGTTCTAGTATGGGACTCCTCAGTAGTGTGCATCCATGATCCCGCCTTGCGAGATTCGAACCCATGACATGTCAGTCTCACGCGTGAGAGCTCAACCAATAGACCGCTGAGACGGCAACCAATGGTGTTAGTGTCTAACTTCAACTAATCCGAGAAATTGAGTGACATATCCACTATTGTGAGTTACTACCTCATAATTGACCTGATTGAACTCCATTGATCACTGCTTCTCACCAGAACTCCAGGATATACATCTTGAAGCCAGTCACTAGTGAGCATTTGTCGATCAGCATCAGAATGACTTTTGTGGAAATTGTAGTAATATCATTAGTTGAAATTACTTTAAGTTTTCAATAATATTAATGAATGCATTATATTTGTTATAACTTGTAGCCTTGTATCCTATTTATATATAGCATAATGATACCACCAATTAGGGAACAGTAATTTATCAACCGCACCAATGATAAATAAAACCTGTACAAGCAGTCTAGAGACTTTATCGGTCCTTCTTCCAGCCTAACCACGACTGTTAATTCCAGAACATCAATCTCAGCCTCTGAGATATCAAACATATATTTCAAACATACTGGTGCGGTGGTCGTTATTCAATATAATCCTTAAATTTCGTATACAGTTCGGCTTAACAACCATCAGTAGATAACGCCACAACGGTATATTGATCAGAAGGCGAATACGAAGTGTTGATTACGTTTATTATGGGACCACACACAGATATCCAAAATTACAGGTGCGTTGAACAAGCATGAAAGAGTTGTGCCGAGAGGCAAGCAGGCAAGCGAGCGAGTGAGTGAGTCAGAGAATGTGAGTACGAGTACAATTAAGCGAGAGAGAGAGCAGCGAACATGAATAAAATGGACATATATATACATAGTGAAGTGAATGAATGAATCATCGAATCAATTTAGCGGTTAGTAGTAAGGCTAGCAGTGTGAATAAATGCGTAGGCAGTAAGCAATGCTCAAGCATACATTCGCAGCAATAATAAAGATACAATGATATAGATAAGTGTTGTTGTACGGATGATTCAGTTCGTTAATAAATTAACAAAATGACTTAATCGAACTAAATGTGAACAAACTCAATTGCACGTGGGTTACTATACTGGGTTTATATGCAAACCAAACAGGTCACATCGTGCCATAAAATGGAAAATAGCGTTTGTACAAGACCAATAGACCAGGCAGAACTCAAGAACGTTAAGTCTTATAATAATAGTCTATGAGTCAAAATAAAGCTTTTAAGAAGAGGAACATGAATACGCATAGTTTAGCTACTTATTAATTTTGCAATAAAAATATATGTATCGCATTTGTCTATAAATAGTTCTCAAGAGTTACCATTCATAATTCTCGCCGGGATATAACAGTATCAAACACTAATTCATTAACATGTCAGTATTTCATTCAATTTGAAATAATTTGGATTATCTCATTGTGAAGAATTTTCACTGAATTATGATCAGTCTCGGTTGACATATGTGTATCGTGTGTGGATTGTCTCTAAATAGTCATTATGATACAAGTTCATATAGAATAGATAGAATGTGGTTAGCAGTGGAATGGAAGACTTGGGTTTCTTCCTACATGGGATTCGTCAGTTGGATGTACCTGAATCCCAAATCTGATGTTCATTCTAAGAGAATAATCCAATACCATACGCTTCAAAATCAGTCGCGTTATTCACTTAACTATTGAGTTCAGATAGTCGCTTATCTGTGCAACGGGTTTCATAGTAAACTCAATTTTAAATGGTTTGGATCTAGTCTTAGAGTGACCATCAACCATGGGATGCAGGTACATCCATGTGACGAAACGCGCGTCCCGGATTCAGACTCAGTAATCGAAATGTTGATATGCTAGCTATGGAATTTAATAGTTCATCGTACAGCTTCAAACTGCCCCCAAATGCCCTGGTATGGCCGAGAGTGAAGTGGGCCCGCCCTTCTCGAAATGCTCCCACACGGCCACACGTATACAGCCACCGCTAGAGAAGTCCTACTCATTGTCTTCTCGTGGCGGGGGTGTTGTTTACGAAATTGAGAAGACGAAAAGCGAATGTCCGGTGCTTTAACCGGGTTGGTGGACATGGAGATTTCACCTAGGGGAGTTGGAAAACCCTGATTTCAAACCAATGGTGCACATGGGCTCCAGTATCCTGCGGGGACAAATGGCGTATGAACCAATCGTTGGTCACTGGCTATCATGGGGCTGCATCTCCTCACGATACTCCATTGCCTTGTGGGTTAGACCTTTAGGTCCAAGGCTCCGGGTGTGGCCCCTTAAGAAAATCACCTGCTCCTGTCTGGGCACGCAAGCTGTACCACAGCACTCACACAAATCGAGTGATTTATGTGGCGCATATCTATTTGGTACCTCCTTGTACCAATGTTTGTGTTTAAATAAATAAATAAAGCTTCAAACTGACTGTGCACTTATCTCTGAGGAATCTAAAAAAATAAACGACTTGTGGAGTTAACAAGCTAGGGTTGAGGCAGTAACTAACCGATGGAATTAAAAATTCGAAACTTCAGACTCCATCTCAGTAGTATCATCCTGGATTTCTGACCGCAAGGTGTTGACTATGATTATATATGAGCGCCCTTAAGAGGAATACTAAACGAGAACCAAATACTTATTGTGTTTTTGAGTTGTCAATACTTATTCAACTGATAAAAATTACCCTTAAATGTTTTTCCACTTTGTTCATTTGATACATTCAGTATACAATCTTAGTTTTAATGACTGAACCTAGTAAACAAATAATTATGGAAATTAACTCAAACATTATGTTCAAGATTAACCCGTATGGAAGTGAAAAATGTGTGGTTTTTGAAGGTATTAAAAGGGTCATTTTATCTGTTTAACTTGAAATATGATTAGTTTATATTTACCAAAAGTGCTGGTTGTTAAAGAATTTACTGTAACACAAAAAAACTCTGTACTAGAGAAACTATTGTACACGTGTGATTATGCTAAAACTGAATGCAACATCAGTTTAAATCCCACTGTCTAACTTCAGCTTGGACAGACTAGTATCACTACTCTATACCCAAAAATGTCTTGAATCTAAGGAGATTTACCTCAGACTTTTCACCTAATAGATTGTTAACCAACAGTTGATCTCAACATTTTTGAGGACGAATTAACAAACAGATGATAAATTCACTTGGTATTGTTTTGCTTGAATCTTCCCATTGAGGTTTAAGACTGCAATTTATCAGTCTGTTATTGGCATATGTGCATACTGTGCGTCTGCCTCGATATTGCCTTATTTCACAAGC